CATAATGGGGACTGTTGCGTATTGTAAGTAGGCTTACTAACTGAGCATCTCCAGGCACTCCTTCCCCGCCTGGCATGCTCGGCTTGAGTTTCAGGGTTTAGGGCGTGACTCAAATCACCAAAGTTTCCGGTGGCCCCAAATGCTGAGGTGTCACGCTGCAGCTTGCTGCTGCCACTCGGCTAATAGGTTCCTGGCTACCAGCTGCAGCCAATACGGGAGTTTCTCAAATAGAACGCCTATGCATCCCTCCTTTTTTTTGGCTCCCACGTTGTCGGATCCCGGGATGCGCAATCAAGTTGGGGCGTCGATACGGGAACCTCAAGCCCAAACCGTAACCCCATTTGGAGGCTCGATTAACATAATGTAAAGTTGTAGAAATGAAGGAAAAGAGATACAACCATTTTTGTCAACCCTAGCCGCTTTGGCCGTACCCATCTCCTGGCTTAAAGAAGCAGATATGGGGGTTTCCGGAAAATCTGGTGTCCTTTTGGGGGGGGGGGCCCAGAAGTTGGGTAATAGTATATTGGGGTCTATTTTGGGGTCCCCCTATTCATGGAAACTACCACTTCAGGTAAGAGCTCTGCGGGTTCACCGCAAGAGTGAGGAGCTATTCTTGCTGGTTCTTAGTAGGGAATGTGGGTATTATCATTTCCTTGTTCCCTACTAAGAACCAGTAAGTTTTGTATATACGCAGCCTGAGATCCTAACCCTTTTCAACGGGCAGCGAACCAGACTGCAGCAGCATGATAAGACCGTTTCCTTGCTTCAGCATCTCCATCCTCGTTACAATCATAGCCCTGAATTACATAGCACCCTAACCCAAAACCCTAAATCTTCAAGCCTAAACCTTAAGCTGGCCTTTCAAAGAGCCTTCAAACTGGGGTCTGAGGGAGGGCGGGCAGATGTTTGAAGGACAGATACGGCAGTGCGAGAAGTCCTTTCACGGCTCTAGAGGAGCGCCGCGTTCTGTGATGTACCTTTGGAGATCTTTAGGTGCGTAAAATTATGCAGCCCCAGGATCCAGGTGCTTCATCAGCAGGGCTTGAGGTGCCAAATGTTAGGGTGAGTCTTGATCGTTGTGGGCCTCTTTGCGACCTCAAAGGTTTCAAAAAACAGCTACAAAAGCTTGCGGAGATTGCAGGCCAGGCGTGATTGAAGCCATGTGCTGGGCTCAAAGCTCTTCCTTCAGGAAAGGTAGACTGACCGTTGGAGACAAAGAAAACTTATTGGTTCTTAATAGGGAGTATGGCATGATATTATATCGGGGTTAGATTCCCTTCTTCCCTACTAAGAACCAGTAAGAGGAGAGCTTTCTTGCTTCCATCTCAACCTTCCAGAAGGTCTAGAATCTAGAAATTTTCTCCCGCTGTGGCATGCCACACTCAAGGCTTGGCAGACGATTTTCCCACTGTTTTTACTCTTTGTACCACAGCTAGGCAGAAGCCACGTCATGCGCGACGTTTGGAAAGCATGTGACGTCGGGAGCTTGTGGCATCCCACCCTTGCTTTGGGTGTAGGATCTACATTAGGTGGACCCCCCACCCAGTAATAGTGACTATAAGGGATAATAGGGATTATATTAGGGTCCTCTTATATTCCTATTACACCACTATTGCAGGGTGGGGGGTCCTCCTAGGATCTACAGGATTTGCCTTGTGGGCGGCTTGAGAAGGGAATTTGGGTGCCTGAACCTGAGGTTGCCGGATCCTCTCTGCAGACTTACTGATGGTCAGCAGGGAATGCAAGAGTGGATATACGGACTTTTGCGGGGATTTTTACAGGACTTCTGTACTGAGTTGTGCTTTGGGAGCCAATCCTCCCTTCCAACAACCTCTGGATGCAGGGACTCAAGATAGCATAGTCTGCTCCAGGCTGCCCATGAAGTCCTCAATGACCAACCTGAAGATCTTTGGTACAGGGTTTGGGGTTTGGAGCAAACCTAGACTTTCTCGTACGAAGGAATGGGTCCAGTTAATAGTCCATATGTAAGCCATAAAAGCAGAACCTATGTCCCATTTATTCATTCCGTTCCAACCACCGGTCAGAAAAAAGCCTTGAGGAGGGGCCGGTGGTGACCGCCATCCACTCAATCTACGCAGTACCCGAGCTGAAACGACCCTTTTTCTAGGCAGGGAAAGCCCAAGTTATAGCCAGATACTCCTTTGTAATTACCATGGTGGATAACGCCAGTGTGTCGTAATGTGCCTTCCAAGAATAAACTAGCTTAATACTGTCGCAGCTCACTGTACCATCGGGGAAGTCGCCGCATTGAGGGCATGTTGAGCATGGTTCTGAGAGTGTTCCCAAAAAATCTTCTTGCTCAGAGCGCAGGCACGTCCATAAATGGCATAATTCCGCTGTGCCTGCTTTGATATAAGCCCTAGAGAGCTCTAGTTTCCTTGTCATGTTCCATTATCTTTTCCTTGATTCTCCATTCTTGCAACCCCACACCCTATACCGATAGTCCATAAAACCCTCTAAGGAAGAATCTCTTCAATACTATACCCTATAGAATCCCTATAAACCCTAGTAGTTTCCATTATTATTTTCCATTATCCCTATATAGCCCCAATATATACCCTACATAACAAGGGTCGGTCCGACCTTGCAAATTACTTGCTGCGCAAAGTAAAGAGGGTGGGGCGCGGCAGTCAGGCTTCAGCGTGTTGGGTTTGGGATTTAGGGTGTGGTTGGAGTGCGGTGTTCCTTCAACATTGTGAATTGGCTTGTACTTGTCGTTGTCCGCGAAATGGAAATCCTGTCGTTGGGAATCTGTAGAGAATGCCTGGCCTGATGCTAGCAACCCTAAACCCTAAACCAACACTTGCCTCTGGCTAGCAAGGAATGAGGTAAGGGATCCTTAGTGTAGTCCCTACATAAATTTAGGGCTTAGGGTTTACATAAACCTCTAAAATGTGGCAGTTTCCATTTTCTGTGTCATTCCTCCATTCCCGGCTAACCAGAGGTAAATTATGTAACTCCTTGATACAAGCCACAGTTTCCGTTACAATTTCCATCTTCTTTTCCATGTGATTTTCCATGATTGGGGAAATATCCCCAACGTATCCGCTACAAGCCACATTTAGTATCCCTCTGTTATCCCATTGTCCCTTTTTCATCCCTAAATAAGCCTAGCCCCCAAACCCTAAACCCCTAAATCCTAAACCCTGTATCTGCACAAACCAGTCGGAGGTTGGCTTTGCCTTGCGGCATTTCACGGTTAGATACATGGAATTCCACACAAGCTATTACGTTCATATCGGGGTGGGTTAAGGTCGGGGTATAAGAGGTGTATCTTTAAGATCTATGGTTCAGAGTTGTGTGTTTATTGTTTGTTTTCTGGGACTTACTCTAGCTAGATGTGACGACCCTGCACTTTTATACAACGGTTCTATCAGCATAGAGCATTAAGCACATGGAGCTGGCTGTTTCTCTGAAGCCTCAACTCAAAACAACTTTTGTTCGCCGAAAGTCCTATGGTCATTGGAACGTCAAGCTGTAGCTCATATTGAATCTTGTGCAAAACTTGACACGCCCCACCAAAACAATACGAAACTCATGAGGACTTTTGGGGGCTCAGGAACCAACTGGTTTGCAGGAATTCAGCAGAATCAGGAGTGGTGTAGAGCTTCTTTTCCGAAAAAGTCCATATCAAGAATTCAGGCTTCTCGGCTTAGTGGTACCGCCAAAAGTCCTCACCCTAAATACCAGTGTCCAGTTCATCTTCCATGTTCTTCCCAACTGATTCTCTTTTGCCTGAACATGGTATTTGTCTACCTAATCTCTTTAAACCAAACCCGTAAGCTGCTCGAAGCTCAGGTTCTCTTCTTGGGTGAGCTGCTGATGCGGATGGGTGCTCATGGTTCCTTGATCTGCACCAATGCAAGAGCCGCCATTCCCTACCCAGGCCCGAAGGTCAGGGTTGTACAGATGAGTAGTAATTTAGTTGGGGATACTATGGTACCCAATATAGAGTAAGATTCTATCCTCCTTTTGGGGTATAGTATCTTATATAAGGAATGTTATCTTACTAGGTTCAACCACAAAAAAACAGTACTCAGATGAGAACTTATAGGGCCCAGGTACCGATAATGGAGAATCACATGCAACATCAAAAGGAAGAGGAAGGGAATCTGGTGGTCGATGTGGATATGTAAGGTTTATCGCTTGGAGGCCATGGGTAGATTGAGGGGGGCGGGGGGGGGGGGGGNNAGCATGGGACAGGCTTAGTCTATTTATCTATCCTAGAATAAGTGGTATCCTTAACAACTTTACCATAAGGAGTACGATGGCTGGGCTGCTGTTGCTCAAGCCGAAAATTAGGCTACGGGAAGTACCCCACTTGCAGCTGCCGAGAACCTTCAAGCAGATAGAGCTATACGGCCTTCCTTTGGCCATGTAAGAGGCTGGAAGACAAGGCGGACTAGTGCAAGGCAATACCAGCCCACTTGTTTCATTGTTTAAACAAGCGCTTCAAGCGCACAAACGTAGCCCTGCTGTAGCTGGAAAAGGTTGGCACGGACAAGGCAAGTGCCAAGCAGGCCAGCCGCAGTTGCGCAGTTTACGCAAAGTAAGATTTCGATACCATGGTCATTGCTTCGCGCAGCGGCTGCAGAGGCAACACGCCAAATATTGCCGACTGCCGATGCGCTCTCGCAAGCAGGTGTTACTGCCGCCCAAAACTGCACGAAGGCAACATGCCGTGCACCAAGCCACGGAAGCAGAGGTCATAGCTACGTTTGAGCACGCCAAGACCTTGGAGCGCTTTGAAAATCGCACTCGTGGAGGCTGTTGCTTCGATGGGCAGGTGGAGCTTCAGCCTGCAGGTGTGTGAGTCTGAGTTCGTGTACACGCGGAGCTCATGTCTGAGACTTCATGCCTCGCTGCCCGGGCAGGAGTGAGGTGAAGTTTGGCAGGGTTCTTGCAGTCTTGCACCCTGTTCACTTTGTTCACTTGTGCGCACACCCGCTTCGGAAGGGGTATGCCGCAGCTTCGGCTGCATGGCCTTGGTCCTGCAGGTCAGTTGGAAGCCTCTCACTCCCCACCCGCTCTGTTTCTTCGGCCTCCCTCACACCCTTCCGCCCTTTGTTGGGTAATATGAGCGATTCTCAAGCGGCAAAGTCTTAGGTAGAGTGTCCCAAGTTTGTTCTTGCAACTGACTACTGCAAGCACCTCTGCTATTTTGGCCCCAGAGACTCTTACACTCCCCCTGTAGTCCTTATCCCGACCTTGTGCCCACAGTGTCCTTGCACTGCTTTGTTGCATGCCCTTTAAATCTCAGGAAGAGAGTTCTTTTGCTCCTATGACCGGGTCAACCTCTTCTGGAACTATTTGGACACAGCGCCTCACCTTGCATTTGAAGACCTGGGCACATATTGAAGAAGCCCAGTGCACTGGGCTTTGTTTAACTGAAAGTCCAAGTTTGACGTGTTGTGACCCTGGTACTTATGCTACATTTGAGCACTTTGGGACTTTTATGGCTCCAGAGGCCATCCTCACCCTAAACCCTAAACCCTAAACACTACTAATCCTAAACCCTCTTTAAACCCTATTCCTTTTGTCATTCCAAGCTTTAGGATCGGCTCCCGAGGTTTTGGTGGGGATCTCCATCGTCGAAACAGTGCTGGTGATGGTTCTCGTTGAAGACACCGCCTTTGCCCCAGTTTGCTTCGCATGGTAACTTTGACTGTCCGCGTGTGCCTGCGAACGAACCAGGTATTCTGCCAAAGTCTAACTACATCTATAAATGAGTTATTGGGCATTCGGGCCTTATAGGGAGTCTCCCATCATCCGAAATGGATGGGAACAAAACTGCCGGCCAAAAAGTCCTCACATCACAAATATTTTGCTTCATTTTGGGTGTCTGCGTGCTCAAGATCCACACCTTTTTTGTTCTCTAAACGTGACACGCGGACTTGTGTGTAAAGGGCTTCGGCAGCTTTGAGCAAAGCCCTCTAAGCCCCAAATCCTTTGCTCGGGGAGTCAACCTGTGGTTGGCCTGCAACGTTTACAATTCTTGTAAATAGGGGTTTCCCAAAATTGGGGATACCCGTTTGGGAGTACCCATAATGAGCATTATAGCATTTCGGGGCCTTTATTGGGTACCAAATGAAGGCCCACACTCCACGAAGCCTAGGAGATCGGCATGTCGAACAAACTGCGGACAATGCGCATCGTGCGCCTTACACGCCTCATTCGGCTGATGCGGGCAGTTCGTTTTTTCCAAGGCCAGGAACATCGAAGTCGGAATTTGCCTGGCTAAGGTCTCTGGCTAGCTTGATTTCATGCAGGGTTTCTGAAATCATGGTTCTGCGTCAAAAGTTTAGGCCCACATCATCTGATAATCCCCTAAAGATCTTTGAATAGATCGAACAGTCCAGACATGCGATTTGTTGAGTCCGCATGGTCAAGGGTACATCATACGAATTCCCGCGTGCGTACATTTTACGTGCTCCATGATCCTGCATGTTGCTCCGCAAATCTCTCGCCGTGAGCTTTGGAGTAGCAACCAGGCCATCAATAGGAGTGGCCTGCGATGCCCTCAAGCACGAATAGCTTGCGATTTGCAGCCTTCTGGGTGACAAAATCAATTACCTTCAGTAGCCTGGGAATGCCTGGGATAGGCAGACCTGATCCCTCGTAGTTACACCACACTTGGAGGCCACATTCCGGCTTAAGATCTCAAGAAACCTTACACGACCTGTATCCAACAACAAGAAGATCATGAGAGCGCAGCAGGATGTTGCAGACAATTTCCTCCTGCTGTGTGCAGGCTTACGAACCTTGATCTACTCCATCTTCTACACCTTGAAGCTTGCAATGTATATTGGATTATATTGGGGCTATATTAGGGTTATATTAGGCTACCAGATGTTCGGTTTGTGGTGGTTGTGGTTGTTGTGGTTATGGTTATGTGGGGCTTTCAAAGGCCGTGGTGGTGACGGAGGGGGACGGGGAGCGGCACGCATTAGTATAACGAAGATTAGCCATCAGCATTTCATGCCTTAAGAACAGCATCAAGGGAGCCTGATTGTGGGGGCAACGTTACAACTAGGACTTGAAGTACATACTTTCGGGTTGGGCCCCAACTAATACGGGTACACCATGAAAGCATGAATGCATGCTGCACTAATATAGACACCATTCATTCTTGTTGTGACTGTTAGTGGTCAGGGTCCCAACCTCACTACTTTTCAAGAATATCAAGGACACGCACAGAAGTAGCAATAATGACACGATTGGGCATGCACTAGCGCCATTGCAGATGCGAGAAGCTGCAAGGAAAGCACTGGCGTGGTCTCTTGTTCTTCTCCTGCTGATGATCTACGTGCGTCTTGGTCAGGAAGTATTACCCTTGACCTCAAATTTCGAGTCCTGGTTCTGATATCCCTGCCGCTGCACACTATGAACTTGCGAGCACAGCACCTGAATGTGGTTAAGCCCCAAAGCGTGCTCCCAAAACCTGAAACCTTACCCTCCAGAACCTTCAACGCAGCAAGCGCGCAATCGCAACCTCATTCAAGCCCTTTCCAAGCATCATCTTTTACGCCCTGCCCCCAGGCCCCAAATGTCCTTAGTCATCCCTAAGCCCCAAACCTGAAGCCCTGACCTTCTCCTCCTTACGCGCAGCAACTCACCCGGCCTTCTTCAAGATTCTACTTTAGGATGTCCACGGTCCATGACCTGATCCCCAAAAAAAACTAAGACGGAAGGCTTGGCATTCTCCTCACAGATGCGACGCTGGCGCACGCAGCTAGGCTTTTCACAGTCAACCTGCCCAATAGGTAGCTTGTAACTTCGTAGCGTGCTGTAAACTTAGATATTCAGCTACTAAGACGAAGAAGATGCTGGCCAGAAACTTAGGTCCATGTCTCTTCTTGTTGCACATGCCGCTGACCAGCTTAGGTAATCAGCTATGAGAACGCCACCGTGACTGCTTACGGGGAATTGGGGTACACAGGGCATACCGACTACAGTGGCTTATTCCTTGGTGTACGCTTCAGCTGAGTTTTCAATGTTGGGTGCAAATTGCTTTGGAAGTCTAAGTCGTTCTTGGGCTACAATTGCCCAGAATGTGGGGTTTGGAGGCTCAGATCTATAAAGCCTACAGTCACTCAATTTGACAGTTTGTAAGATACTGCCTGTGTGCAATGTCTTGGTGATGGCTACACTGCATGGAGTCTCGAGGTTGTTTGCGATTCCTTTGCACGAGGCAGGTGCTTCAGGTCCATCATAAACCCATCCCGTTATGTCGCAGTTGCGATATCCTGCATCAAAACAAGGGAGGCCCTTGCTATGGGTTGCCTTGAAATCTCCCCAGAACGCATTGGAGTATACCCGGCCCTGTCCCAGAGTCCAATGCAAGGGGGAGGGGAAGCCTCTTCATAGCCAATCCAGGGAGCCCTCTTGACCGGCAATGTACTGATCACGAGAGAGAATCTATGTCATTGATCAGGGATGGGCAGCTTTGTGGTGGGTGTTTCGGTACTGACGACATGGTCCAACCATGTCGTGTGTCGGTTCAGGCGCCACCGTCACCTGAGCACCTGGCTGACTTGCTGCTGTTACTCCCTCTGTCGATCCCATTCTTGCCAATTTTCAGTGCTTGGGCATGTTTTCTATTCGTGTAGAGGTTGAAACCAGAAGACATGCTCGATACCAGACTAGGTTGGTATCTTTGCATGCGAACATCAACGCAGAGAAAAGCCAACTAATTCCAGAGAGGATTCCCGACGATTCGACAGACGAGCTCCTGTTCAATCACTTCGGCTCTTTGCACGGTCCTTACCATGCGTGAGATGTACGCGGTTATTCAATGCATCCTTGGAGTCCTATTTGCGCTGTGCAGGCGGGAATATCTTGAGTGTCAGGATGTACCAGGACCATCCTGAAAGTGGAGCTTTCATGATGGCCCCCGCCGCCACCACCGCCACCGCCACCGCCACCGCCACCGCCGCCGCCGCCACCACCACCACCACCGCTGTGGTATGCTGTGGTTATTCCTTATCATAGCTAGAAGGGAGGGTCGGGAGCAGCGAACATGAATCCCAGCCAACACATAAGGGACACGCAAGTTGTTTGATAGATTTTGATAGTTAAGATGAAGCGGCCTATATCAGACCCCAAAGAGCGACCCTGAAAATGCCATCCCGATATCCCCCGTGCCCGATGTCCAAAGCTTGCCCAGGCACCTGTCCATGCACACGCTTTTCCGAAGCATCACAGGAGGACTTTGCAACCAATGCCATGCGGAGTATGTCGGTAAATTGGTCAAACGCAGGTCCCCATATCTGTGTCCCCAAACAATGCGGGTTCTGATATCCGCTTCCCTCATTCTAGAAGCGGTAGACTACGTAGACTCCATGTAAGATGCATGAGGTCGGGTTTGTGCTGTGGTGGTGTGTGTGTTGGGTCCCTCATGACCGTTCGTATGTGTGGTGTACTGTTGGGGAAACCAGTAACAGACATGTTACCTTCTATGGCCGAGAGGTCCTAAAAATCAAGGGCCTCAAGGGTTCCTGAGTTGCTGCAGGTTTGGATGGGGTCACCCAAGTTAGGAACATGAGATTTTGAAGGCTTTCATCATTTCTTGCAGAAGTTCTGTCAGGCGTATCTTCACTGATTCACTGTGCGAACTGTTTAGGAGAGCCAGGGACTCAGTACGCGTTTGCTGCCGCCAACAGGAAGTCAACAACAACACAGAAAACTCTTATACGCAAGAGGTTTGAACACACCGTGTCGACCCCCAACTAGAGCGCAACCCACAAAGCTCGAAGACAACATGTCAGCGAAGCGAACGCCAAAATTTCGGCCTGCAGGTTTAGCCTTTCATTGCGCAAGGCATCTCCGCCAGTTGGGCCCTTTGAAAGCTAGCATCAGCAAGCAGAATCAAAGGTCGTGTTTAATGAGCTGCAAAGAATGTCTCCCAAGTCTTAAGAGCGTGAAGTGTCGGACTTCTCGACCATGCAAGTGCTTGTTTTAACCACCTGCAATCAAATCACTTTGAAGTCAGCAAAGATTCCGAGGGGCCCTGGTATATCCCTTTCTCGCGAAACCGCCCAAATACAAGTCTAGCTTATGACAAGGTACGACATTGTTTACTCTATTGTGTACAGGCCTCGAATTGACTCGCAAAGTTTCAGCTCCAACAAATACGGGGGACTGTAGGGGGTTCCAAGTTAGCATAGCAGAAGGTAAGTCTCAAACTATGCGGAGCTTGATGACCTCAAGCCCCCCAAATGTTCTGGCTTCGCTTACTGAGAGATTTCGGATGTCCTGGTTTTTGTTCGTGGCTCGCGCTTTTGAAGCGCAGAGCTCTGGGCTTTTGGATTTAGGAAGCTATCCTAGAAGCCTGATTTTTTTACCAACTTATCCTATCAACATCCTTATGCAAGTACAGTCAAGGTGCAGTCTCATGTACCGCTAAACCTAATTCTAGGCCCCTACAGTAGGTGCAGAATTCTTGGGCGGATAAAAGCCGCCAACGTTGCGCAGGGCTTGACTGGTCCAATGTTGCTGAAGCCCTGGCACCCTTGAATTGGATGCTTGGCAGCGAGAGGGTACCTCAAATAGATCTCAACATTTCGGCCTTTACATTACCCTACCTCCAAGGGAGCAAGGGATTCAAAGACTCTGCAAAGACTTCTGTGATTTCAACAGGAGCAAAATGAGGCTCCATGTCCTTGAGGGGTGCTCTACAGTGATTTAGGGGTTTCCCAAAATTAGGGGTACCTTTTAAGGGGTCCCCATAATAAGGATCATAGTATTTTGGGGTCTATATTGGGGTTCCCTTATTTTGGGGAAAAAACCATTTAGTTTGCGGGTACCTCTAGGGCTCCAGGGATGTCCTTGATTAGAACTCTGGGTTTCATTACATGGTAGCATGCCAGCATGTATCTCAAGCCCCTGATATTTACATGTGACAGATTTGCTGAGTTGGGAAACATGGGCTCCTGACAGCAGCAAGGATCTGGGTGTATCTCTTCTCGGCGGCTTGGCTGAGATAGAACGTGGCAGGCATGCAGGATGGGGCGTCCTTTGATGAAGGCCCACATGCGGATCAAACAAGTGCTTGGGTATGCTGCGGTTGTCCCTTGCTGGTCTCGCAGAAGGGGAGAGTTTCCATTCGAACCTCTAGAAGCATCACTGACGCAAGGCTAGCAAGCCATAGTGTTCTTAAATGGCCTTGGGGGTTCTCATGCAATTCGCTTCGAGCTATGTACCAGGGTGACCTTGTGGGATACAGCAGGTTCGCATTTACCAGGTGTGACACTCCATCTTCCGGAAATTGTGGCTAAGTCCTCATTTCGTCCTTAGGGTTCCCGAGGGCCCCTTATTTGAGAAACCCCTGATTGAGAACTTAAACTCGGGGAAAGGTTTGAGGCTGTAGGGCGGTGCCTGCATATGTAACGGCACCCCAAGGTCCCAGTACCAAAATCTTGGGCCTTCAGGCCGCGAATGCATAGCTTGAACTGTTGGTACATAAATCTTTGGACCCTTAGGGCCTCGACCCTTTTGAAGCTACCTTTCGTCTGATAGGGCTGCAACAAGCGGCTGTCTCGCCGAAATAGGTGAGCTGCCTCAAGGCATTGAAAGATACTCAGGACCCAGACCCCCTAAAGGATCTTACAAAAAAGGATCCCCCAAAATGGCCCCATCACTACATTCGTGAATTCAGGAGGGTTATGGGGAGTTTCGATTCTTTAGATCCTTTAGGGGGTCTGGGGGGAGATTTCAAGGAGGATCGAGGTCCTGCAAGTTGGGACTCCAGATTTGTGCAAACTGTTCATCCCTGCCCCTTAACTGACTGGGGGCTACTAGGGAATAAGGGAATATGCTATGTGGGGCTTATATTTATAGGAGTATTATCCCCTTAAACCTTACTTACCTCAGTAAGTTAATAATAAACCCCCCTCCAATAGGAAACACGCCCAAAGCACTCCCATCATGTATTTGGGGAGCTTCCATCATTAGGCGGGGTGGGGGGGTTGCTATTTGCTGGAAGAAATTATGGAAGACGAGTTCTTTGTTTGACGGCTCCTGGGTATTCAGAAATCGGGGTCCTTCCTCCTGCGCTCGCTGGATCGCGACTACATCATGTGTGGTCAAAGCCGCCTTCGAACAGCCCTAAAAACCGTAAGCCCTAGACCTTTCAACCCTTTACATTGACCACCGTTATTGTCTCAAGAATAAACAGCCCAGCATCCCATGGCTGTGCAGTCGTTTAAGAGAGAAAGCATTGGGAAATTCCCATGGTACGGCTTGGAGTTGCTTCTGTATGGTCTCTTAGGATCACCCTCAGAGATCACCGTCGCTAGTGAGGACATACCCTGCCAAGGAGTTCTGTCAGTTCTGTGATCTTAAAGGCCCTGTACAACCGTGGGCCCTGAGCTTGTCAAAACCTGTAGTGGCTGAGGCGTACATTGCCTTTTGCACCTTGGTTGCGCTTTGGAGCATTTTGCTTTTCCTCCAAATTCAGCCCTAAACCTTAGATTATGGATGTACATTGTCCAGCCAGCTGCGATCCGCAGGTCTGTTTGCCGTGCTCAACGTTATGACAGGCAGGAACCTAAGAGCGAAAGTCTATGCTCCTTGAAATTGGGTTATACAGGGGATTATTTCAGGTTTAGGGTCTAAACTCCTTAAAGGGTGGTCTATGTTTTATTAAATCATATAGGCCATGAATGGGGATACTAGGAGTGTAGACTATAGCTGCTAAGAGGATGGCTTCTGCCTTGGCATTCAAGATTTTGGAGCACAAAAAGTTTCTTTTTGAAGCGAAGATAGTACACAGTGTATGTAGGGACAGGAAGGAAGGCTCCACAGATTCCAAAATTGCTGCCTGTTGGCGTTGTCTTGCTATGTCCTTCCTTCAGATTCCGCATACCGCAAGACCATAAGCCACCCCAAGATCCTATTCTACTCATGTTTATAGGTTGCGGCATTTTTCGGAATGATGCCACTATAGCAACCCTTGAGGAATCCGGCTACGCCTAGGTTATCTGCAATTTACTGCAAAACCTGGCTTACTTCCGGAGCCCCATATACTCCTCCCTCTATATCTTTAACATCGGGGCCGTTGTATGTCCTGGCGGGAATCCCTATAAACAAGTGTACGGCAGCCCCCTGCTACTGTAGCCACATGCAACCGGCAGCCCCATGTCGCTGTAGTCACATGCAACCCATACTGTAGAGAAAGCCTTCTAGTCCCTAGATTAATCTGCTTTGTACTTGCAAAGACTGCCAGCGCAACCCCAGAGGCGCTAAATCTTATGTCCCAGACCTTTACCTTCAAACCTTTCATTATGGTCGCAGATTTTTGGTGTATCTAAGATATTTGCAGGACGCCGCTCATAATAGTCCCAAAAGTCAATCTTGGCGTTTTTACCACTACTACATTACATAGTCCTTTTATATAGCCTCCACATGTGAAATCAGTTTCGGTTTTATGTCCGTGGTCTTTTCTATGTGATTCTCCTTTCTTTCCGTAAATACTAGACCTGGAGCTTCAAATCCTAAACCGCATAGACCCTAAGCCATAAACTCAAAACTTCACGCCCTACGTGAGGCGTCTTCTGCCAGCGGGCTACGGAGCTTGCAGAGCGGGATCACGAAGCGCAGCTGCTGGAGCCTGGGCTAAGGGAGTGTGAAAATTTCCAATTTTGGGATGTAGGGGGTTGGGGATGGTTAGGGCTTAGGAATAGTAAATAGTAATGGCAATAGTTAGTTGTAAATAGTAATGACAATAGTCATACTAACTTAATGAAAGTGATGAGCATAGTAGGAGTAGTTGTACTACTTATAAAGAAAGAAGGAGCAAGGAGAAAACTGTTGCGACATGTTGGGTTCGAAGATTTCGGTTTCGAGAAGAAACCGAGGGAGTGGAGTCTAGGGTCAGCTGCTAGGAAGTGTCTTGGTGGGTTCAGCACCTTCAACGCCCGTCCTTGTTCTTCCAATACGGAGGCAGCCAAACATTCAACTCTAAACATCCAGGGGAGCCGTTACATAGGTTGCAGGTGATGCCTGCAGCACAGCTGTTACCATGGTTTTGGTGTTTGGGTCTAGTTCCGCTGTATAGTCCCAAAACAAGGGGATCGATTCTATAGGTGCTTTGAAAATGCAACATTTTGTGCAAATGCCACTGTCAGCTCAAAAGCTTCAGAATCCAAATCCTCAACTAAACCCACCTCCCCCGGTGGAAATCTCTGGAATAATCGACTCTAGAACCATCGTCGAAACATTGGAGTTTCTCAAAATCATTCCTGTCTTGCTCTTAAAGGCGACGGCCATAATCTTGGTACATGATATATCCCCAAGAGGAGCCCACGATACCCCCAATTGTTGAGACACCCCAAAATCATGAACCCATTGAAATCTGCTGGGTTCTCTGCTGAGCTGTTGCAGTGCTTTCCAACAATCAGGCCTTCTGAAAAAAGTGATTACAGTATATACTCGGGGGTGTGGAGCGGGGCCCACCCTTTCCCGAGAACTACCATTCGCAAAACAAGTCGCAACCATTTTGCAATGTGACCTCCTCCAGAAAGACAAGAGCATTCTTAAGCGCCCCCTTCTTCTATCCATCTGCGTGCACGGCGAACCCTTAACCCTAAACCGCAAACAGCCACTTTACTTGTCATGTCTCAGGGTCTGCAGATGGAGAACGAGCGCGTTCGCGACGAGCGGCTTGTCTAAGGGGTTATCCCAAACACTATAATCATGGCTACAGGGAGCCCCCAAAAAGGTACCCCTAATTATGGGAAAACCCCTCATAAAGAGTGGTGGGGTCCGGCCGCATTCAGGCAAGGAAATAGCAGGTACGGTCCAGTTGAGGCAAACACTGCCAAAAATGTAGTACCACAAGAGCAAGTGCCAGGCAAGTCCCGACATGCGGCCATATCAGGCGTTCAGAAGCTTCTGAAAGTTTGATTGCAGGACTATAGAATGTGTATGTATGTATATATATATATATAATAGAGGGAGCATCAGACGCGTCTGCTATCCAGCTTAGCATTCGGCCAGCCATTTGTGTTTCGATGGTTGGAAGCTGCCAGGTTTTTGACCTTTGTCACGGGAACATGATGGCACATCTAGCACTGAATTGCCAGTAGCTAGTGTGCGCTTTCAAAACTGCGTAAGCACTTGTACAACGGCAAACATGAATGAACTTAGATGCTGCAATGTGCTGGACATGTAGAAGGACAGTCCGTTAGATCAAAAACTCGAATCCACGTCGACCCCCATGCAAGACAAAAAGGGTTGATACCTGCTTGTGCGTTGGAGATGGGCACACCAATGGCACGCACTGGTCAGGGCTTCTGCTACCCACAAAATGTAAGCAATGGTGAACCACAGTGAACCACATCCCTGCTGAACTGTGGACATCTCAAGAGGCTTTCCCAACCCACATTGCCAGTACGTTTGCTCATTGCGAGCACCATTCCTGCTACTGCTGCACTGACTATAGGCTATCAGCTTGACATGGTCATGCTCCATTTTGCCATGCCTAAGCGGAGGTCTCGCACCCTCTTCCGTAGCTTCGACGTGGCTAAGCAAGGTGCCGAAAGGGGGGCTATACGAGCTGGAGTCTAAACTCCTTAAACGGAGGTTGTATAGTATTATATAGGAGTGTATCTAGGGGAAGGGGGGCTTTTAGAGGGGTTGTCAAAGGGGATACTAGGAGTGTAGAATTTTGCTCATGTGAGCTACTGCCCAGAATTGGGCAGTCCAGGGCTAAGGATTTCGGAGATTTCGTGCTTAGAGTTTGGTATCCCAACTCATCCTCAAGGGACAGACTATTACAAGGGTTTAGGGTTTGGGGTTTAGGGTTTGGGGTTTGGGCTTCCCTCATTGCGTAGAGATTGTTTTGAGAGACTCCAGTTGTGCTGGCACCCACATTCACGGAGGCTACCTGGTCTTTTCCCCCAGAGGGTATCCCACTTTGTTTCATCACAAGGTAGTGAGATATCTCAGGAAAGATCCACTTACATAGAACTATGTGCAACGTTTACAGGCTGATTGTACGCCCAAGTTCAAGTTATGTCCACTCATCACCCCGCTCATAACTGCCCATGAA